CTCCGTGTTTTCTTTGTAAAGATAAGCAGAGCGAGACAGGAACTCATTGGAGAAAGGTGGCGCCTGGGCTGACCATGGTTCAGCCTTTACGACTCTCATAGTTGAGAAGAGAGGTTAGTTGCGAAGATTCCATCGTTCCTTTGTGTGATGTTCGCAAATGCCTTACATATCTCCCTTTAGCTCGGCGATGTTCCCGGCGGGAACATCACCGGGCACTGGAACAAGAGGCATAGAGAGAACAGACACACACAAGACACAAACAACATCTCCATCACTGACTGAATCCTGGTGCAGGACTTGGGTAATTTGGGAATGATCAGGTTCGAAACTTGAGAAGACATAGGGGTGCATTTTTTAGGATTACTTGTATCATTATTGTGTCATTTAGACTGCTCTAATTGTCAGAGTTTTGACGAGGCGGTATAGGCGTAATCTCAATCAGGTTTGTTGAGTTCTCAGGTTCAGGTTCAGGTTCTTGGTCCGTTTTATCACGTCGGAACATGCACAGGACGCCGGACGTGTATTTGTTGAGAGACTCTTGAACGGCGTTCACTCGCTTGTGGAGGAGGAAGGCAAGTGTCAGAGTCACAACATATCCTACAATAGTAGAAAAGCAAAGCGCTGTGTCAGCGGCAGACCAAGACCGAATGATTGGCGCGCCAGCGGGCGGAAGGCGAGCGATAGCTTCTGAAGCTGTATCAACAGGAGTCAAATCAATAAGTTGCGTTCCTTCCTCCTTGATCCTTTCTTCCAATTCTGGATTGAGGATGAAGGAATGCTGTTTGAAGAAGGGTGAGATTTCGAGTTCGGCCTGATACTCATCGTTGGTAAGGTGATAAAATGCTAAATCGTCAGTATGGAGGATCGAACCCTTAGGGACATTGATCCAAAAGTTTGGTTGGGTAGGATAATGTGCATGGCAGTGTCGTGTCCATCGTAGGTGAGGGTAGCCGTACGCGCTGGGGTGTTGATTAGCCATCGGTTTCAACGATTTACGACAAAAAAAACATTTTGGTGAAAGGAGTCAATCCTAGTTTCGGGACCTGGATTTAAAGTTGAGTTAAGGGAGTTCCCTGATGAGGGGACTAGAGGGGAAAGGAAATTGTAGTGAGAGGGGGAAACGAAGAACTCAAAGAGAGACACAAAGAAAAAAACAAAGAGACAAAAGGACACCGAATGAGGTGAGACAGCAAACGAGTGTCACATGTGTGGAGTACCTCCTCTCTACTAGAGGTTGGTCCTAGCAGTGCGGCGGAGGAGAGTGTGTAAGTGTTGAGTCTACGCAAGGTGGCTATATGTCTTCCAGGTATTGGTGAGTGGTATAGGCGGTAACGAGGTTCAGGTCACCAGGTTGGTACAGCAGGTGTAACGGTAGTGTCATTTGTCGCCCCATCATCATCTCGAATGGGGGTACTCCGGTAGACCAGTGAGCGGTGGCCCTGACGGCCATCAGTACCAGAGGAAGCTTAATATCCCAATCCTTTTGATTGGCGGACACATACTTCTTCAACATGCTGACCACTGTCCTGTTGGTTCGTTTCACTTGACCTGAGGAAATTGGGTGATGGCTTATATGAAGCTTGGCCTGTATACCCAGGAGTTTCCACACTTCCTTCATGACTTCGGCGGTGAAGTGGGTTCCTCGGTCAGAGTTGACCCTTAAGGGAGGTCCGAACCTTGAGAAAATGTGGTTCATCAAAAGGCTGGCTGTCGTTTCTGTTGTATTGTTGGGAGCTGGGAGACACTCTACCCACTTTGTGAATTCGCAAACCACGGTGAGGAAGTATTTGTTACCCCGTGTTGACCATGGTAGGGGTCCCACCCAATCTATTTGGAGGTTCGACCATGGGAAGGTCATTCCTTTCCATTGCAGTGGTGCTCGGTGGTTTGGGTTTGCCGGTTGGAACTGGCAACTCACCAGGCATCCTTTTACGTACTCCGCCATGTCTTGCTGCATGCCAGGCCAGTATGCTACTTGCTTGAACATTTCGTAGGTGGCCTTTGTGCCATGGTGTCCAGCGTGAATCGTGGGCGTGCGTCAGCATTATCCCCCTTTGGCCCTGAGGGACTACGAGTTTTGGCGCAGTGAGGGGCTCAGGGACATATGTGAGGACGCCGTCTTTGAGATGCAGCATGTGCTTGATAGAGTTGAGTGTGCAGAGTTCATAGGAAGTGGCAAGGTCAGAGGTGGGAATGGGATGAGTTAATGGGTCTGAAAGGTGAGCTGCAATAGTTTGCAGTGTCGGATCCGAAGCTTGGAGGGTGAGGAGATCATCAGTGGCGAATTGAGGTGAGAGTTCAATGTGGAGGTGGGGGTTTGCATGCCAGTGGCATGCTGGCGGCGGGTTATAGCAGCCACTGATGGGGTGGGTGGGAGGGCAGGACATGTCCAAGACTAATGCACCTGCTTTGGCGAGGGCATCAGTTTGGTCATTGAGATCTTTGTCTTGTCCTGGTTGACGTGAGTGGCCTCGGACGTTTTTCCAATAAATGATCATGTCATGTTCAGTGAAAATGGCTTCGCATGCTTGGAAGAGTTCCTGATGTTTGACAGGCTTGTTGTTAGCCGTCTTGAATCCATTCTGTTTCCATCCAGCTAGATGGCATGTGAAGCTTAGACGGGCATAGTTCGAGTCGATATAGATGAGGAGTTCTTTGATGTTGTGGGATGCAGCAAATTGTAGGGTGATGAGGATGGCCGCAATTTCTGCATATTGCGATGAGTGAGGGCCTAATTTGAATTGTTGCGGCGGGTAAGGGCCATTGTTGAGCTAAACCACTCCCGCTCCAGCTTTCAAGTTGCCCTGTTGATTGTAGGAGCAGCCATCGACATATGCTGTGGTCATCCCTTCACACACATTCTCCTCGAAGTACCTGTGGTTTGTCAGTTGTGGCGGTAACGGTTCTTTGGGTTCTGCTGCTGTGTGCAGCGTGTGGGCCGCCATTTGCCGTTGGGTTTCATGACTGGCCATATCGGAGCAGAGTATGTGCTGTTACAGGGCCGGATGACCCCCTTTTTCAGCATGGAGTCAACAATTTATTGCACTGGCTCATATGACGCTATTGGAATCTTGTACTGTCGCACAAATGTGGGTGGTGCATTTGGGCTTGTCGGGATGCGCACACTGTGGATGTTGGTACAGAACCTCTTTTGAGTCCTTGGTGGTCTGCTTCCTTGTGGAGGGCATCCGTCTCACTCAGGATCTGTTGGATTTGTGCGGCGAACCCGGTGTAGAGTTCCTCCATGGTTGAGTCATTTGAGGGGCTCTGTGCCTTGATGGTCACCTGTGCAGGTGATTCTGTTGTGGGCTGCGTTGAGACAGCGTAGACTGCAAGGTGAGTGTCGTCTGTGATTTCTGATCGGCAGACGCTTTCTCTGGGCACTGGCAGAATAGAAGTGATGGCAATGGTTCCATTGGGTCTCGTGAACGTTACTGTGTCATCATATTCATCTGACAGTAGTTGTACTGGTATGTGGCCTATGACCGGCACCGTTAGCTCAAAGTCATGGAACGTCTGGTTAATAAGCCATCCCAGGTGACTGGCTTTGGGAATGTTGATGTCTTTGGCCGTACAGTTGTTGAACAATATGTACACAGCACGAGATGACACTTCAATGAGAGGTGTGGCTTCCAAGGTCAGTCCTAGTCTTAGGCAGGTCCTGGAAGGTTGGAAGAAGCCTAGCTTACTGTCGAGAGAGTGGCCAGGTCGCATGTTGAGGCGGACGCTGACACTCTTGCTGTAGGCAGGTATTGTAGCTTCTTGCTCACTGATCATGGCACATGCGTCTGGCATTGTTTGACCAGATCGAAGGTTCTTGAGGTTGACTGCAGTGGTCAATTGGTGCGACAGGGGAGCCCATATGACGTCGTTCAGAATTTCCACACAGGCATTGAGCTGACCATGATGTCTGCTCCAATGCAGATGTCATGAGGTAGGTTGGGGACAACGAGGAAGTAGTGACTCAGGTGTCTGTTGTTCCATCGTATATCCACAGCGCAGATAATCTTGGAGGTAGCCATGGTTGTCGACCCGGGACTGAGAGGGAAGCGACTGTGTCTTGAGACATGTGGGAGGCTCGGCTGTCCTTGATTCAATGCTCTGAATAGCTTCAGGCTGATAGCTGAGTTCTCCGCCCACAGGGTTAATGCCGCGTCGGACACTGAGGTGTCGTGGACATTTATGGCAGTCATGATTCGAAGGAGGCCTGAGTCTGAGTCAGGCGCCTGCAATGAGCAGAGGAAAGGGTCCAGGTTCTTGCTGCTTGGAATTGAGCTTGGCCCTGGCCCTGGCTTTGACATTGCATCATCAGTCAGTGAGTTGGCGGTGGTGTCTGTGGTTTGACACTGCGACTCGTTGGGGTCTACTGACTGGCAGGGCAGAGGCTCACGGACTTGCGTCCCTATCTTTAGTTGCTTGAAGTCAATTAAGGGTTCAAAGCGATTAAGCAGGTCTTTTCCAATGAGGAGTGGATACGTGTTGAGTGGTGAGACGTATACTGGGTGAACAAGGTCCATTGGTCCCACAGTTAGGTGAATTGGGGCCATGTGTTTTAGTTGTAGGCCCGTGTGGGAATACGCTTGAAGGTTCAGCTCACACCTTTGAAGTTTGAGGGTGCTATTAGACCTCTTTGTTCTTCCTTGGACTTCTTCAAGGAGTTCAGTTGACATTAGAACTTTTTTGAGGCCATCTTCTGTTTGTCGTAGGCTTTTTGTGCCAAGTCTCGCAACTGTTGAGCATTCATTGTTCATGCGAGAACGCCAAGGTGGTGGCTTACTCCAGGATGGAGGTTTCTCAGGAAGAGAGTTTTGAAGTTTAGATCATCTTCCATGTTCGGTTCGTTGCGAGTTCCGAAGTATGCTCATCTGAGTCGGCTGTAGTAGGCTTGGGGAGATTCATGACGTCCTTGTCTCGTCTCCAGGGCAGCCACTAGTCCTTGTTCTGACTCAGGGTCGGCAAATTCTTTAATGAGGGCCTCTTGGAGGAGGTGGTAGTCAGCCTTTGTGTGAGCCAGCTGCCTGTCCAGGAAACTGCGCACGTCGGGGCTGGCTGTTGTTCAGAGCAAATAGAGTCTATCTTTGTCCGTGACATTGAGTCTCATTTCCAGATGGAAATCGACGTCTTGCAGATAAGCCTGGACATCCTGGCTGCCTGGCACACTTGGGGTGAATTTGCCAATGTTTCTGGCGAGCTTTTCAAGGTCTTTGAGGTCCAAGCCATGCGATGCTCTGTGGCTGGCTGGAGAAAGTTCTTTTAGCTTTGTCGTGAGGTAAGGTTCCTCAGAGGGAGTCGGTGAATGTTTCAGCACTGCCCCCTCCCCCTTTTGCTCACGTGTCAGTCGAGGAACAGGTGACCCGGTCCTGCTAGGCAGGGGTGAGACTGGTGCTCGTCGGGTCCTTGTAGGCTCAGGGCGCAGCTCGTAGGCAGAGAGTTCCTCTCTGATGCTGTCTGACTTTTCTTTGATGTAGTCCAGCTGTAGTGTTAGGCGACTGATCTCATTTCTTGACTCATCCAGGTGAGTTTCAAGGGCTTTAATTCGGCCGTTCCTGTCTCTGAAGTCGGCCTTTGCCTTTTCCAGGAGCTGTTTGGCATATTTTAGCTTGCTGAAGAGATCAGCGTAGTCAGCCTTGCCTCGTTCCATTTCTTGGATAGCGGCTGCTAGGGTCTCTCTTAGCATAGTGATCTCCTCCTCGGCGCCTTGTTCCAATTCATCAGGCCCTTCCTGTCGTTCCTGAGCCTCCAGTTCTAGCTGCTCGATGCGTCGTTGTGCGCGTGTTAGCTCCTGCTGGAGATGGGCGGCATGCCTGTCGCTCAGCTTGAGGGTGGCGATGAGTGTGTGGCTTAAGGAGCCGGTGATCTTTGCTAATTCTTTGTGACTGTAGCTCTGACTTGGGTCTTGTCTCATGAGGTTTGCTATGTTGTCGTCCAGCTGGTCCTGTGTCTGATGCCTCAGTGTTTCAGCAGCCTTAGGTAGGAGGCTGTCTGTTGCAACACTTAGCCAGGTTTCGAGGTCTTCCCAGTGGCCAACAGAGTCTGTTGTGCGAAACATGTTTTTGGCGTGGTGAGGGAGATCTTAGAATCTAGACTGACACAGACCTTGAAGAAGAGGAAACGTCTCAGGTTACTTATGTAACCATGGTTCCCTGAGTAGGGAACGAGACACTGCGTCCTCTAGGTTTCTTGCCATGCTGCGGACGCAAGCTTCAGACGAAGAAGTGAATGATGTGTAGCTCCCGGCGCCTATTTATACTATAGTCGCACCGGTAGTGACGTCATGGCTGTCGCCGGCCAACGAGTTGGTGTTTTTTCAATGTATGCTTCAGACACGGGTCACGACGACGCGTTCCCCATAGCGACCCCTAGAGGACGCAGTTTGAAGTTCCCATGAAAGGGAACGTCTCAGGTTACTTATGTAACCATGGTTCCCTGAGTAGGGAACGAGACACTGCGTCCTCTAGGTTTCTTGCCATGCTGCGGACGCAAGCTTCAGACGAAGAAGTGAATGATGTGTAGCTCCCGGCGCCTATTTATACTATAGTCGCACCGGTAGTGACGTCATGGCTGTCGCCGGCCAACGAGTTGGTGTTTTTTCAATGTATGCTTCAGACACGGGTCACGACGACGCGTTCCCCATAGCGACCCCTAGAGGACGCAGTTCGAAACAAACCGAGAAGGGTATAACTGCAGCCCGGAGATCTCCAAATGGGGTCGGGAACTCCAAAACGGGGTGGGAGCTCCAAAATAGGGCGTGACTTCCTCCCATTGGCAGACAGGCACATGACATGCATACGCAATTTTTCCCCCCAATCCACTTCAGTGCAAACTCCGCCCCACAGCTGATTCTAAAGATTTTATTGGTTGTGTCAATTAAAGTGTTGATTTCCTACATTATGCTACAAAAAATTGGCGGAATTGGCGCTGAATAGCGTGGTAAAGAAAGATACAGTTCAGGAGATAAACAGTTAATAATATTATGCGATATGAGATCGTTCTGTAACTCCCCAACTGGACCTCACCGGACAATGGCACCTTTTAGTTACACCCAGCGTCACTACCCCCTCCTACCCTGCGAATTTCGAGCCCCGGGATGCCCCCATTGCTTGGAACAAAGCGATATAGTGAAATCTTTCCCCTGCGCTACGCTGGGACGGCTTGCGGGAGAGCTCGTGGGTGATTCCCGTTTACATCATTAAGCAGAACCTTTGCTTAAGGAAACTCCAGTCCGAACACCACTGGCCACGAGCTTTGGGCTCTGCTCTCACGGAGAATATTTACTTACATAGCATATTTTATTTTAGATGAACTAGAAACAATGTTACATTTATAAAGTTTTATTTTGAAATGTAAGTCAATAACAATTGGCTGGAGCCAGAGCCAATGGTGAAAGTCTTTGCGTGAGGAGACCCCACCCCGTTTTGGAGGTTCTGCCCACTTTTGGAGTTCACGCCCCATTTTGGAGATCTCCGGTCTGCAGTTATACCTACTTGAACAAACCAGGCAAAACAGGGGTGTAAGTGTGCAATGTCACTTGTGGTTTGACAGTGAGTGTGTAAGGGACAGGTGAGTGTAGTTCTCGGTGACTGTGATTCTCTGGTGGGCATGCTCCTAATTTGTAGTCTCTGTGGGGAAAATTAGTAAGCACACAGGTAGCACAGCTAGAGAACGGAGGGATGAAAGAAAAACAACAAACAAAACGGAGCAGCGGACAGGATAGTAATTGGCTGCTTCCAATTTTCCTGCAAGAGAAAAGTTTTTTTTCTTTTGAAAGGAAAGAAAGTTAATGGTAAGATGAGAGGGAAAGATAAAACAACAAAATACCCTTTTCTGGTAGCAGAATGAGGATAATTGAATTTTCTTCTCTTTTTCCTTTTGGTTAAGTTTGATTTAGAAGCATGCTTCTAAACCGGCGATTGGGAATGGGGATTTCTTAATACCACAAACCACA